TGAGGTTGTCCCTGAGGAACAATTTCTTGCCCTGGAGGGTTGCCCAGGGCTGTGCCAGGCTGCCCAGGGCAGTGGTGGTGTCCCCACCCCTGGAGGGGTTTCCAAGCCATGGAGATGTGGTGTGAGGGATGTGGGTCAGTGGTGCTCTGGCAGTGCTGGGAGAACAGTTGGATTTATTGATCTTAAGTCATTTCCAACCCAACCGATTCCATCATCGTGTTGCATGGGCACCTCTGCAGAACTTGGGGCTGTGCATGCTCCCAGTTAGGAGGAAAATCCTTGCAATGAGGGGGGAAAACAACCCAAAACTGGGGGCAGGAGGCTCACAAGAAGTCCCCAGGCTGAATCCCCCACCTGCTCCATCCCCTTTGCAGCAGCTGAGCTCAGGGCAGCGGCAGCTCCTGCTCTGCGAGACGCTGACGGAGACGGTGTATGGCGACCGGGGGCAGCTCATCAAGTCCAAGGAGAGGAAGGTTTTCCTGCTCAACGACATGCTGGTCTGTGCCAACATCAACTTCAAGTACGTCCCAATGGTCCCACCCCCCAAAATCACTTGGCAAAGCATGGACGTAGTGATCTTCCCACTTCCTCACCTCTGTTTTTTGGCCTTAGTGGGTTTTGCTCTACCCCAAGAGTCGAGATGGTCCCACCCCCCAAAATCACTTTGCAAAGCATGGACGTAGTGACCTTCCCACTTCCCCACCTCTGTTTTTTGGGCTTTGTGGGTTTTGCTCTACCCCAAGAGTCGATTTGGGTAGATTCGGGGTTTAAAACCACCTCACCTTGTTGTGGAGGGGGAACCTACCTGGATTGGGGTTGCTTTGACCCCCAATTTTGGCCCTTCTCCATGCAAAACCTCCATCCCTTGGTGCTATGAGATCCTGGAGGAGATGTGGGGTGTGGGAGCCTGGTGGGAGCTCAGGGCTTGGTGGAGGTTGACGCCACAAAGCGGGAAACCTTTGAGTTCTCCATAAAACCTCTTTGGTAATCATTTTTTTTCCCCCCCTCCTCTTCCAGGCCAGTGAACCCAGGGTAGGTGCTGAGCGTGGTGTGCTGTGGTTGAGTGCCCCACGTTTGGGGGTTCACCAGTGCATGGTGTTGGGGGGGGGTTGCCAACGGGGCATGACTCTCAACACGTGTTTAACGAGGGGCTTGCAGGGTGAGCTCCGGCGTGCAGTGATGGATTTATCTCTATCTTTGCATCCTCCCTTGGCAGAGGCCAGCTGGAAATAAGCAGCCTGGTGCCCCTGGGTCCTAAATATGTGGTGAAGTGGAGCACGGCCCTCCCACAGGTGCAGGTGGTGGAGGTGGGGCAGGAGAGCGGCGCCTACGACAAGGACAACGTCGTCATCCACAACGCCGGCGCCAAGAAGCACGCCCCATCTGGGCAGGCTTCACACAGTGAGCACCCAACCCTGCATCCCAACGTTGGGCTGGTTTTGGGTGGGGTAGGATGGAGCATCCTCCATGGATTTCATTTTGCTGTTTTTCCACCCAAGATAAAGTCTACCTGGGGCCGCCGCGGCTCTTCCAGGAGCTGCAGGACCTGCAGAAGGACCTGGCGGTGGTGGAGCAGATCACGCTTCTCATCAGCACCTTGCATGGCACCTACCAGGTATCTATGTGCATGACCCAACTCAAGATTTGGGTAGAACCAAGCTTGGGTGCTTTGCAGTGACCACGTGGTTCGGGACCGCTGGGCGCTTCATCCTCCTGAGCCTCATGGATGAATTCGGGCTTGTTTTGGAGGCACTTCCATCATTTATGATGTTTCCTCCAGAACTTGAACATGACGGTGGCTCAGGACTGGTGCTTGGCCCTGCAGAGGATGATGAAGGTGAAGGAAGAGGAGATCCACTCTGCCAACAAGTGCCGCCTCCGCCTCCTGCTGCCGGGGAAGCCGGACAAGTGAGTTTGTCAATCATGAGGTGGGATCTTCCCACTTTGGGGAGGAGGAAGAGGCTGAAGATGAACCTGGTGATGCTTTCCCTTCACAGATCTGGCCGCCCCATCAGTGTCATGGTGGTCTTCATCACTCCAAACCCCCTGAGCAAGATCTCCTGGGTGAACCGCCTGCACTTGGCCAAGATAGGACTGCGTGAGTAGCCCCCTGGTGTTTCTTGCTGTCACCCTTGCTTTGAAAAGCCAAATCTGGGAGCAGAAGGAGAGGTTCCTGAAGGGCCTCGTGCTGATGGCATCAGGGTTGACCCAATTTCCATGAAACAGGATGAATAAGCAAAGGAGGAGCCGTCCTTCCTGCTGCTTCCCCAACCCTATTTAACTCCATCAGCCACTGCAGCAAAAAAAAACCCCAAGAAGTTTAATGGAAGGAAAAAAAAAAAGTCATTTGAAATCCTGTTTGAGTGCTTGAATCCCCCTGGGCTTGAACGATTTTTGATTCTTTTGTTTTAAACAGTTTATCTGTTTTTTGTCCATTTTTTTTGGTGTTGTTTTTAAATCTGGAATGCCTGGGGATAATCCTGTATCCATGAGTTAGAAATGAAAACACATTAAAGCCTAATGTGAAGAAACACACTGGGTTGTATTTTTTTCCCCTTTACCTGTATATTATCTGGATTTTGGGGGCTTTTTTTTCCTCTGCTCCTTGAAATGCTGCAGTGGGGTGCGATTGCTTGGAGGAAAGACCTGAGATGTCCTCCAGGTCTGCAGATGATGGTGGTTTGGGGTTGGAGATGAGAGCTCTGCACCTTCAATTCCTGACGTTGGGGTCCCACTGGGGGAGGGGAGGGGTGCTGGGGGTGTCTTGGCCATTCTTGATCTCCTCTGCTTGTCCCAGGGGAGGAGAACCAGCCGGGCTGGCTCTGTCCTGATGAAGACAAGAAGAGCAAAGCTCCTTTCTGGTGCCCCATCCTCTCCTGCCACATGCCTGCCTTCTCCAAGGCCCTCGATCTGCAGGTAAGAGTGATGGCCAACCTCTTCTCCAGCCCCTCCAAATACCTCCTTCCCCTTTCTACCCATTCTTTTGGGGAATAAAGGCAGAAATCCCCTCATGGATGGGCCAGCCGAGCTGGTTGCAAAGACAGGAATCAGTGCAAAGCACCCTGGAAAATGGAAAATACAAGTTGGGCTGGGGCTGGATCTCAGATTTTGGGGAATGCCCCAATACCCTGCATGCACTGGGGTAATTTTGGGGGTGTTTCAGACCCACAACCCTGGTCTCTCCCCCAGCTCAGCACCGCAGTGCACAACCCTGTGCAGTCCTCTCTGCTGGGCTTCTCCGCCGTCAGCACCTCTCTGCCGCAGGGCTACCTCTGGGTGAGCAAAACAACCCCAAAATGGGGCAAAACCTGACGGGTTTGGGTCACGCTGGCTGCAGACCCCCTCTCTGGTGCTCGTGGCTGGGGCTGACACCTTTTCTGTGGTCCTTGTAGGTTGGGGGAGGCCAGGAAGGCGCCGGGGGACAGGTGGAGATCTTCTCCCTCAACCGTTCCGTGCCGCGGACGGTGAAATCCTTCCCGGTGACTTCCCCGGTGCTGTGCATGGAATACATCCCCGAGGGGGGCCAGGAGGAATCGGGGGGCACCCAGGAGCCCCGACCCCTCACCGAGCAGCTCCCAGCATCCCTGCATCCCACTGTCTGCCTGGGGTTACGGGATGGCAGGTGAGGCCCCATCCGCAGCCGCCCTCCGGCGTGAAAACCCCGGCGCCGAACCTTGGAGGGGACCTGGCACTATCTCCTGCCACCTCCCCACCCTCTTCCTCCCCCAGCATCGTGCTCTATGGCAGCGTGGACACGGGGACCCAGTGCTTGTTGACCTGCAAAAGCCCAGGAATGCAGCCTGTCCTCTGCTTGAGGCACAGCCCCGAGTACCTCTTCGCGGGGTTGCAGGATGGGACCGTGGCTGCCTACCCCAGGAACAACGGTGAGGACCCCCCCCCCGTGCAGGTTTTTTGGGTGGGAAACCCTAAAAACCACAGAGCAGGAGGTTCTTCAGGCTAGGGAGATATGCTGGCCTATAAAAAACATGATAAATCTCAGTTTTTCATTTCCCCACCCTCCTCCTTTCAGGACGAGTTTGGGGAAAGGCTTTTTTGCATTGCCAGGGTGGATGCAAGAGAGGCTCAATTTGGGGGAAAACACGTGGAAAAAGGTCCCAGCGAGGGGCTGACACCACAGCAAAGGGTTTGCTCAGTGGATGGTTGTGCTTGGAGGCTGCAGGAAGGGTCTGATCCCAGGATGCACAAGGATTTGGAGTTTTTTGGCTTCAAAAAAAATCGCCTTTTGGGTGCTCTAAATGGAGTTGACCTCCTCCAAACCCCATCTGCACAAACCCCCTCTCCTTTATTAGCTTGATTTGGGATTTCTTTTCCCTGGCTCCAAGGCTGCAGCTTGCTGAGAGCCTTCCTCCCCGGGGACTCCTTGCCTGGGCTGTTAAATTCCCTTGTTTCATCACTAGAGGGTAGGAAAGAGCCTCAAATAATGTGTTACATTGGCCTATTTTTGGACAAAACCCTTCATGTGCTCTGAGAGAACCTACAGCGAGCAGCACCCAAGTCAACCCAGAGCTACTAAAACCACTTAAAAGGCATTTTGGGGTTTTTTTTGCACCCCCTTTCCCACTTCAGAGCAACTGTGCAAGACAATAAAGTGGCTTTAAGTGAATCTCAGTTGCCTGAATGCCCATGGAAGGCAGCAGGGCTGTGGGGTGGGGTTTTTAATCTCAACCCCATTGATTTGAAAGGGAAAAGCTTTCTGAAAATAGCTCATTTTTAGGGGAAAATTAGGATTTGCTGAAAGGCAGCTTGGTTGCAGACTCCTGCTGGTGGGAGCAGAGGTCCAAGAGCCCAAAGGGCTCTTTTATCCCTCAGATCTTAGGGTTCTATTTGAAAAAAGAATTGCCTTGGAAATAAGAAAAGGAGAGAAATTATCTATTGAAGCTGCTCAGCCACTGCTGGTGGCAAATTCATCCCAATCTGTATTGGATGCTCTTCAGAGATGCTCCAGATCAGCCTGGGAGTGTTGCTTCAAGAGCAAATAAATTAAAAATAAAAGGGATTTTGGGGTTTTTCCAGTGCCTGAGTGGTGCAGGTGGCCAGTGGTTTGCTGCTAAAAGCTGTTTGCATGAGAGCCCAGTGGCTTTGGGGGGTGCAAGCTCCCCCTGGTCCTTTATCTGGGGCATGAAGATGCTCTGAAGCCTCCGAGGTGACACTGGGGGACACAAAGGGGTTGTAGCTGACCCCCAGCAGCTAGTTGGGGTGATTTCAGCTGCCTCAAAAGATGTTTGGGGTTTGCTGAGCACCTTCTCACCCCTGCCCTTACCCCTCCCTCTTGGCATCCCTGCTCTAGGGGGGCTGTGGGACCCCACGCAGCAGCCCACCCGCCTGGCTGTGGGTGCCAGCCCTGTACGAGCCCTCCTGACCCTGGATGAGACCCTCTGGGCCAGTTGTGCCAACCAGGTCACTGTCCTTGATGCCACCAGTCTTCATGCCCAGGTAGGGAGCTTCACCAGGCCCCCCTGTGCTGCACCCCCTGGGGGGACACGGTGGTGGCTTGAGGGGGGTGGTCGTGCTGGTTTGAGCCTAAAAGGACACACGTGCAGGTACAACCCTGCCTGTGCAATGCCCCAACCAACATTTTATTGCTGCTTTTTGCTGGTTTTTCCTCACTTTTGAGTCTCTTCCCTCTGATATGGAATCACAGGAGGACGCTGAGACGTCTCCTACAGCTGCAGACCCAAGGAATGCTGAATAGTTGCTTTTTTTTTTTCTTTAAAACCCCTTTCTCCCACCTTTAATTTTCACATTTAGTGCTGAAACTTAGTTTGCATGTATTAGCTGTTGTAAATCCAGCCTAACAGCAGTGCCAGGGATGAATAATGCATCAGGGACTGGATTCCTTTCCATCTCTGATTTTATTTATGACAGGAGCCAGGTGGGAATTCTTGCAGAAGAAAAGTGACAGTGGAGGGGGAAAAAAATAGGGATGCAGAGAGAGGGTTGGTTTGATGGAGAGCTGGGTAAATAGGGTCTTGGGTCTGCCTGGATGGGATTGGTGGCTCCTGGATAAACCAACAGGGAATAAATCCCACGTGGAGTGGGGAAAAAAGGGGGAGATCACCTAAAAGTCTGTCTTCAGCTTCATTTTGTGCAAGAGTTTTGGGGGGATGCTCTGTGCTGGTCCTCTCCAGGAAGGAGGATCAATGCCCACCCCTCTTTTTTTTTTATATAAAGCAAAAAACTGTTTCAAAGCCATAGGAGATATGAAGGTGAAGTTGCTGCGTGCAGGTTTCTCCCTCAGAACCTGGTAATATGAGGTTTTATTTTGGGAAATCTGCAGCAGAGGTGACTTTTGATGGAAAAAGGTGTTTTTCCTGCAGTTTGCATCCTATCTCTGACAGGGGAAAGCTCCAGTGGAAGCAGATGGACCAGTTCATGATCCCCCAAGTAGCTCTTGCAGTGGAGGTGGACCTGTAATTGCTGATTTTTAGGGGTTGGAGGGAAACAAAGTCTCACCCCACCTTGGGGTGGTTTTTGCAGTTGTAAATGAGTCTTTTAAAGAGGTAAAAACCATGGAGGGTGGATTTTGTTGGGGTTTTTTTTGGAAAAAAAAAATCTAGAAATGCTGTTTTATCATCCCCAAGAAGAGTTTGGAGATGGGCTGGTCTCAGTGTCCTCTGCCCAAGCCAGAGCTGATGAGGAGAGATGTGACCTCAAGCTCACCCTGGTCCCCTCCTGCTGCAGCTTGGCAGCTTGAAAGCAGCTCCTGGAGAACACCTGAGCTGAGCAGAGATTTTTGGGAGCAAGCCTTTGATTCTGTTTCTGCCATCCCCTCTTTGGCAGCAAACCTTCGAGGCCCACCCTGACACGGAGGCCAGTGTCACACACATGATCAAGGCTGGCAGTGGGGTCTGGATGGCCTTCTCCTCGGGGTCCTCCATCCGCCTCTTCCACACCGAGACTCTGGAGCATCTCCAGGAGATCAACATTGCCACCAGGACCACCTTTGTCCTCCCAGGTGAGCTCTTCTCTCCCCCTGGCTCTTCGTGGCAGTTAATGGGCAAGTTGGGGCAGCACCTCATAGATGTGTTGCTTGGCTTTATGGCTGGGTGGGTTTGCAGAGAAACTGTGCCAAGGGCTTGATCTGGTTAATGGTGTAAAGGTTTGAGCTTGGACCTCTGAGGTCTCTCCTCGTTGACTGCAGAGGTGGAGCTGGTGGCATCTTTGCAGCCTGTCTTCTGCACTTGTGGGCATCCTTGTACCCCATCTTTGCACCTGGACTCCTGTGCATGCACCTCTCACAACCATGGAATTGTTTTGGTTGGAAGAGACCTTTAAGATCAAGTCCAACCCTTCCCCCAGCACTGCCAGGTCCCCACTGCTCCGTGTCCCTCACACCACATCTCCATGGCCTGGAAACCCCTCCAGGGATGGGGACTCCACCACTGCCCTGGGCAACCCTCAAGGGGAAGACATTTCTTCTCATGTCCAACCTAAACTTCCCCTGGAGCAACTTGAAGTTGTTTTGCCTTGTCCTGTCCCTTGTTCCTTGGGA